TTAAAACTATTGACTTCTTGCTCTATGGGTAAAGACTGCAATAGATTTATATTTTCACTCATTTTTTGGTGAAGAATTCCCATATTTTCTTATTCCAGCCTCTAAAATTTGATGGTATCCCGCAATATTTTTGGGTATTGGAGTTTTTGGTGGAACAGAGCAAAGGGTTTGCTATATTTGACGTCAAGTTTAGCTTTGTGAAGTTTTGACAGACAGTTTTCTTATTTATTTTTACATTTCATAGACATATTATATCAACAAATTGAAAGCCTTTTCTTCATACTAATTTACAATCAAAAGGCAAGCACTGCGAGGTCTGTATGAGCTCCTGGATGGAATCTGTGTCTTGTAATGGTGCTGTTGGAATATACATTATGCTCTATGTGCATCCATGTGTGTGAATGTGTGGATTCACATTTCTCATTGTACTTATTGGTTTCTGTCTATCAGCTGGGATCTTCTAATAAACAGCTGTTTACCTCCCTATAACAGAAACATGGCAGGTATCGACCCCTTCCCTTACCCCGACAAAATGTCTACCAGGTACAGCCGTGTGAGATTTCTACCGTCTGCACTCTTTGATTTTGTCTGTGTGCAGGGCTGGACAGAATAACAGGAACACCTCACAATGCTGCGTAACACAGTGACATCTCATTCTGCAATATTTAATTAACTGTCACTGTGTAGACAAAACTATAAAAGCCGCATACAGCTTGTATTTACGTCAGGATTGTATGGTGTTCCTGTTACATTGTCTACCCCGTGAAAGGCCACTCGTCTTGGTTGTTTGAGAAAAGTCCTGCAGGAATCCTCTACACAAAGTCAGGCACCACTTGGGGCTAGATTCTATTCTTGTTTTTTTGTGAAAAAAGCTATATATGAATGTGCATTAGAAATTACGTTTTGTCCAAATTCAAACGTCAGAAATGCATTATTTTTTAGCAATGACCAACTCTGACGCTAGCATAGCATTTTGACATTGCAGCAGTTGCATGGCTCACCCTCTTAGGAAGGGCTGGTTATCATAACACATTACTTATAAGTTACAAACCAAGTAAAATTGGAAAAAAAAGTAAATAACTGAAGCTTAAATAATTAATTGTAGTGAGATTTATTGCGTTGTTTAATATTGGCATGTTCTAATTCTTCTAAGCAAAATTCTTTGGCTTATTTTATCAAAGTAAAACAGTTTCTTGTGTTTCATGTTTTGTGGATGGACAGTCTGTTTTGTATAATCAGAGAGCATCTGCACGAGGAATGTAGGAATGCTGCACTTTGGAGTCACGGCATACTTTGCAAACCTCTGGGTTGGTCTCAGGTGAGTGCAGAGACTTCAGTCTGCTGACATAACAAACCCTGTCTCTAGCTTTAGACATACAGATAGAACTCTTCATGTAAAGGAGCAGATAATGAATATTAAAGCTTCTCACAGTCTAATGTTGTTGCTTGCTGTCACGTAAATACATTACTTGTAGCCTATTAATTGTATTGTGTGTGAACAATGTTGGCCAAATAAAAATACCAGCTGAACTTCATCACCTTATTTCAGACCTCATAACCATTTTCATCATGATTTAGTAATGTCATCTTGTAAACACGCTGCCCCTCCTGTCTAATTTACAATGCATTGTTTCCTTTAAAGGCCCATGAATGAAATGAGCAGCCTTTTTGTTTGCCTTTTGAAAAAGTATCTGGGTGGTTCGCTGTTTGTCTTTGTTAAACTGCATCAGCCTCACAGAGTGAAGGCAGGGTCGATGGGTGACTAGTGCCATGGTTTTAATGGGGAGGATCTTTTGTTTGTCTCTGGGTTTGAAACATTGATCTCTTCACTGATGGTAATGCAAATGTGTAGGGATGCTAATGTATGCATTTATGCTGACCTTTACAGAGTGAGCATACCATATTGAATGTGTTAAAGGGGTCAAAGAGCAAAAGATGCAGTCACGTTACCTCCTGATCAGCAAGTAAACACATGCTGCTATGGCTTTGGTTTTCCACTCTGTGTGTGGACTGCTCTCATATGACAGAAAGGCAAATTAGTCACAAAGCTTTTTGAGCAACTTCCTGAAATTTTTGCGTGTTAAAAATGTATTTTGGATAGACATTTTGAGAGCTTTCGGTGTGCCACTGTATGTAAAGTATAGAGCACAGTGATGATGTCATTCATTCGCTCACTGAAGAGTGATGTGCTTATTTCCATTGAAACATCGTGTTTAGACGAGAAGGTGACGCACTGCGGTGACCTAGATCCCTTTCATCAAATAAAATTACCTTACAAGCGCGTCTTTAATTATGCTGTATCCAAGGAGGGGTTCATCCAGGCCAACCATTATCCCTTGTTTCCGGTCTATATGCTTAGCTAAGCTAGGCTAAGCTAACCTAAGCTAAGAAAGCAAAAAGACAGTCACATTTACTCAAATGTTGAATTATTGCTTAACAACAAAAAGTTTTTTATATATAACTGTTTATATATTCAATGTAAATATTTGGGTATTGATACTCTTTGGTATTTATTTTCACTATCTCTGTAAAGGGACTAACAAAATACATTTATTATTATTATTATTATTATTATTATACTCTATTCCAGGTATTTCAGCACTGCTATCAACATTTGAGCATTACCTAGTACCACACAAACGGGCACAATTCAAAACATAACCAAACAATATTTAATGATTGTATGATACAAGTATTAGTTTCTGTTTAATTTGCAAGGTCAACCTGCAAATCACATGTGACAAATCATGCACTTTACCATCAAGCATGCAGGACAACTATGCTTCCTTTCCTTTCAGTTATTCAAGTTATTTGAGTTTAAAACAATCAACATTTCGTGCAGTGGCAGGAGCAACATGACTTCCCCTGGCAGGGGGATACCCTGGCTGCTTGTGACCTCACTTCCTCCTTTGTGCCACTTCCTCCTTATGCTCTCTTGAAACACCCTTTTTGATTGGCTTTTTTCAAATTGTCTTCACACTTTTTCTCCAAATGAATTCATCAGGTTTAAACACGCCTGTAGTTGAGGCAAAGCTAGTCAACACATTATGTGATTCATACACTTAGCTGGGTCGTGACCTTATTTGTGTGAAATGTAACACCAGTGTGTGAGGCAATCATTGAGCCGCAATCATATCAGAGGTTCCAGATTACAGATGGTTCAGCGTGGTGCAATTCTTCTATCTCTGTGGTTCTTGTTCACTCACTGTAGTCATTCTGTATTTGTGAAGCTTACTGGAATATACAGCTGGCTTTGACAGGTGTTCTCACTCACAGGCTTACAGGTGTGTAAACAGAGGATAATGATAGTTGCTTGACATCGTTTCTTGTCTCTGTAGCACCTCTCAAGAATAGTTTGAAATATACAATAAGCATCCAAACTGATGTAAAAACTAATCTAAGATTGGTGAGCAGAAGGAAAAGCAGAGCAATGTCCTCTAACTGGCTGGGTTGGATTCAACAGCATCATTGTGTTGGGTTGGAAGTATAATTTACTGCCGTATTTGTGTCCTGGTGTCAGTAGGGCGGAGGCTCTTTGTGCTTTATTCCCACCACCTGAAAGGACTGGGCTGGGCTCTGAGGCACACTGGGCTCCACCTGGAGACCGCTGACTCAAAAATACTGAACTGCACGCACTGCTGCCTTTAAAAAGGAGTTTACTTAGTACACTTTTTGTGAGTGTACAACAAAAATGCATTTCTTTCACTTAATCCTCCAAGCAGAGTACACTTTGGAGTAGTGCGTTTAGGATTTATCTTGTCATTTATCTGTATTTTTGTTGAATAGCTTTAATTTATTCAGTATTATTATTATTATTATTAAAAGAGAACATAATGTGCTCTTATTGTTACATTATAAAGATAATAACATAATTGAGTGTTTTCATTCAGTACTGTTGAGATCTTCAGATAATACATATAAAATAAAAGGGTAGACCCTGGTCCTAAATGCTTTGGTTTGGTATTGTTTTGTATAGTAACACATGCTAAATATAAAAAGAAATGATCTGCCAAAGTAGGGTGGAAAGTAAATTGTACCAGGATATTTTCAATTACATGGAGACTTAATCTGTTTCCGCTTGTCTCTAATTTAATTTGTGGCTAGAAGTAAATGGAGTTATACCAAATTGTGATTTCCTTAAAAATAAGAAGGCTTACAGAACACGTCCAAGAATACATGTATTGTAAACCGTATGTGAACTTTAACAATATTACAGAAGAATGGCTCTTTTGACATTTGGAAAAGTGACTAAGGTTAATACATCTTTTGTGCAGCATTTAAAAAAAATAAAAAAAATAAAAAAAAAATCTCCTGATTTCCTTTTATATGTGTATAACCTGAGTTCAAATACTGATTTGTGGCAGCAATTACATGACTAGGTAAATTATCAGTAGATAAAATGTATCTTTAATATGATAACCTTTGTACCTGTACAGAAAATAGCATTGTCCACAGAAACTCAAATCTTATCAAAAGCAAATATAAGCTCCACTGACACCATTACATCATTTTTGTGACACATATACTGTACAACCATGATTGGCCTCTTTAACGCCTGGTGTGAATTATCTGTGTGTTAACTTCCCATGATGTGACGTCAGCTGAAGGTTGACAGTGATTCCTGAATGATTTGTCCTTGTTACTATGGTAACCTGCAGAAAACAATAATACTCGGCCTCTTTGCTTTCTGCCGTCAAACAACATCAACACCCTTCAGTCTGGAATACGGCGATTGAATCAACCACCTCTATGGATGTATATCTTTACCTCCATCTTGTCACTGTTCCTGTGTTTATCTATCCTTTTTATAAAAGATACAGTTTGAAGCTGTTTTCCTCCTCTATTCAGAAATGAATTGCATGGAATGTTTTGTTTCACCATAAATATTTGAAGTTGTGAAACTGAGATGTTGCTCTGTGTGAGTCTTGAAATGATTATGATTTCTTCTTGTCAGATTTTAACTTATCTCCGTCTCTCTGTTTGTCTCTTTCTCTCTCTAGTCGCAGCCTAGCCGGGACACACCCAAACTGGCCGCCCAGGTCTCCACTGGGAAGCCTGCACAGTTTGAGGTATCACACATTCCTCTCTTATGCCCTTTAACCTCTTCTCGCGCCGCTTATTCTCCTTAGAGAAATGTAAACATCCTCTGTTCAATCAGCATACGGACCGACTTCTGACCTGCTCATTATCTGGACGAATTGTTAGTTCCTTTTCTGGTTCCAGCTTCATGTTTTTAGTAGTTTTAAATAGAGTGGAAGAATAAAGCTGTGCCCTAAAAGCAATACAGTAGCAAGCAAGAAACACTTTCCTTTTCCTTCTATTCAAGCCAAAGAGAGGTAACGCCCAGTTTAATCCATTCATGCTGCTCCTAAACAATGGATCAAAGTGAGTGTTGCTTTGTGTTCAATGTGCAGCTGTTAGTCATTTTCACATGTTATTTTAGTTACTAAATGTTGGCTTGAATAGAATAGATATACCTTTAATGTTTGACTTCAAAAGGCAGACATTTTTCTTAAGTTTGCATGTGCAAAATTTGCCATTTACGATGATAAATTAAAACACATTTAGTTATGAGACTCACTTTATGGAAGTGGGCTAATAAAATGATTTAAAGTATGTTAATGAGGTACTCATGAATTGTGACTATAAAGAAATTATACTTTTATTACTTCAGTACAGCTGTGAAACACAGGGCTTTCACTGAGTCCTTTTTAACTTCCTTAAGGCCAGACAGTTTGGACATGACAAATCAACAGGGCCGGCCTGAAGAGTTTTCACTCGGCCTCCAGCACTTTGACATCGTCTATTTTGGGAACTGGCTTTAGAGAAAGGCTTTGGTGGGATATTTGTAGTTTGAAAGTGGAAATAAAGTAGGTGTTGCAGTATTTAGAATAACACATTGTGAGACAATGGTAGGTTTTCAACCAAGTTATTTATAGAGTATTGTATTACTCGGGGATCAACCTTTAGCTTTAAATGACTCTCGTTAGCAGCTGACCTCTGTGCCCCCTCCATACCTCTGCTCTGCCACAGTGGGGTTCAGCTGCTCATGTATCAGTGGCAGAGTGAAGTAGTGGTGCAGTGTATTTGCATACAGTGGAGACAGCCACCATGTAGGGTGCAACTTAAAGTGGCCCTTCAGTGTTTGAATGTTGCACTTCCATAAAGACAAGAGAGTCATTTGAAGCCCCATTTTCATAATCTAAGCAGAAGAGGCAAAGATATCCTGACTTTAGTCTCCAGTATTCACCTTGTGGCCTGTTACATTTCTGGGTTTGTCTCCTAACTTCATGTTGCTAATGCTAACTAAGACATATTCAGTTTTAAAGTTGTGTCCATATAGGTTCATCCGTGTAGTATATGATTATAAGCCCATATCACAGGAAACTGATCAAATGACCATTGTTTGTCCGACTGCTATCACCAGATCCTAAATTTCCCACAATGCAACTGATAGAATAGATTAGCTTGATGCTCCCTGCCTGGAAAACATCCAATTATGTAACACATCATTAGTGTTGTGTACAAGCCCAACCCGAGATACTCCCAGATACGTTATGGCGATGTCATCAGTATTATTAATAATTAATCAGCTGCCTTTGGAGCCACAGAAAACATTAACAACCTTTCTTTACAGATATAGTATTAGTAAAATAAATAACATTGTGTGTAAAATCAGTGGATTGTCCCTTTTGACCAGTTATAGTAAGAGCAAGTGCCACAAACAAGCATGCATTGGCAAGGCAAGCATCCATTAAGCTGTGATAAAGGTAGATGATTTCCCATACGTCGTGCTTTGCAGAAGGCAGCGTCAGGATCCGCAATGCCTGGGGTTACCACAGCAACGGGTGGAGCCACTCGTAGTGGCATGACGGCGGGAGGAAGTGCTTCAGTTGGGACAGCAGGAAAAGCCAAAGCAGAGGTAGACGGGCCCTGGATGCCTAAATAAAAGTGGAGGTTTTATTTGGCTGTTTGGTGTCACATAACAAGAACCCTCCCTCTACACTTCACTGGCTTCATCTTCTTTTCATCTTTGTGAAACATTGTTTACCTCCTCTCTGTTTGCGGTAACTCTCTCACATCTTGACCGTTCTGAGGCTGAACACTTGCTGTCTCACATTAATGAGCTCTCATATCATCATGCTTGGGAATGACTGAATAACTCTCCCATGACTTTCTTTTAAACCTGTGATCCTTGGTTTGTAGACTAACACTATGGCAGCTACTGTTATTGACATGTCGTCCGCTGGGTCTACCTTTGTTGACCTGACATCAGCTGGGGCGAGGGCTGCTCCTAAAGAGATGCCTAAGGTAATGGTGTCCTCTGATCTGTGCTTTACTCTTTATTTACATTACTGCTGATCATTTGACTGATATATTTTCTACCAATTGGGTAGCATGCAGGTATACTATATAAAAGTGTAGCAAGCTTAATAGTGTGATTGGTTTCAGATTTGTAATATCTTGTAAACACACTTGGTTGTTGGGAAACTCCGACATACACAATGTGTCTGCTTAAATCCAGCCTTTGTAAATCCACGTGATACACATGATTATCAAGAAACCTGTGATTGCTTATTGTTACGATTGTTGCAAGGGATCCCCATAAGGGACATAGAAAACAAATCTAGTGATACATTTTCTCTCTTGTGTTTATGACTTCAGAAAAGGTGAGAAACGTTTTGCAGGGATTTTCACTCTTTATTTTCTTTGTCTGTGAAAACAACTTTAGACTGATAAATGTCCTTCTTTTCCTTTTGTTGGGATCATTGTGTGTTTGGTGTTGTAATACTCATTTTGGCCACAATAGGCTAAAGTGCATCCCTACTTTTCCTCTTTTCTTAAATATTAGATAGATAGATCATAAATCCGATTATTATCGAATTATTTTGGTGCCTCTCAGAGCTTCAATATAAATACAAGACTAAACAGCTGACTCTCACTTTTCTGATATTAAATTATTAGAGTGATTTTCGGAGTGTGGAAAAAGGTCAGCAGTGCTGTAAAATATGTGTTTATTTTATATAGTCTAAACCATGAAAAAGCACAATAATTTAACCAATAACATTGATCAATGGTCAGATTATTCTCAGCAACTTTGCTCTAGTTGGACTAAATTGGCACTCTGACCAGAGATCAATGTGCATTTCTCCAGCTCTGTTTCCACTAACATGTCTTCCATACTTCTTGTAAATATGTTACAGGGTTTATATTTATTAGTGCTGTGAATCTGTCTTGTGTTTTTGAGTAATCATTTGGCGACATGTTTGTAGACTGCTGCCGTCTCCCAAGTCAAAGCTACGGTTCCCTTTCCTGCCGCTGGCCTCACTGCAGTGACCAAACCTAAAGAGTCTCCCAAAGGCTCAGCTAAGGTAGACTCCACTGCTCCTCAGACTCTGTAACCTGACTGCCTGGAGGTTTACTTTCAAAGCTTTCCTTCTGCAACATCTTCTCTGTGGGGCGATCTTATCAGGTTTTTGTTCCTGTCTTTACCTGGGAACACTCTGGCTTTGGATATTACTCACTTTTGGAGTTTCTTTCTTTTTACCATCCAAAAAGGACATTTGTTCATTCCTTCTGCAGTCCTTTGCTCAGCATGCATACACTTGTTATTGTATTTGAAAAGAATGCACACCTGCCCACTTGCAACACCAAACGAACACAGTTTGTTGTCTTGTCCTCTCGCTCTACTTCATTGCACAACTCTTGTTGAAACTTCTGAACTAATGTCTCTCATCAAAATGCTGAAGGACTTCTGCTGGAGACAGTCCATCGCTGTCCTCTGTTTTATTTGTTTCTTTGGGGATATATTCAACTTTGTGCATATACAGTCGATCTATAGTTTTACATCACATGTACTTGGCTTATAATAGATTGAAATGTATTGTATTTTAGAGTGCAACTGCTACCACAACAGTCAAGGCCGAGGTGCCTAAAGTTGATACGGCTAGACCATCAAAGCCAACTGCAACGGCTGGAAATGTGTCTGTGCAGGGGAAGAAAGAAGTGACAGAAATTAAGGTAGACGATCCTGGATAAACTTTGGTGGAAGCTATCTGAGTTTTAGTTGGTGTATTTTCTGTCAGTGCAATATTAGTGGATATGTTGTATTCAATATTTTCATGGTGGTCTGACAGAATAGACTTCACAGCCTTGTGAGTTTTTTCATTGGTGTCAAACTTTGGGATTTCTTTTCTTTCTGGACTATATTATCATGAGGAAAAGTGACGTTTCATCTGTTTGCAATAACTTACTCCTGCAGTTGAGTCTCCATTAAGCTACCAATGTCTGTGTGTTGCGTGCTTCATTTTGTTTCCATCTGTGTACTGATTCTCAATCTTCACTGTAGGTGCAGGTGGAGATTCCTCCGGCACCAGCTAAAGGAGCCAAAGAGGTAGATACTTACTGACGCAGTATGAGGTTGATTTGAAAAGCATGGTGCTTGCTGCAGTGTGCTGAATTGTGTTGCATGTGCAGGTTGATCCATTCGATGCCCTGGCCAACATACTGCCATCAGTTGGTCCTGCACCCGTCCTGCCTGTATACACAGGGCCAGAGGTCGTGGAGGTATAGCTCATGTCTATGTGTGTGTGTATAATCTGAGCAGGTATATGATAACACAAAGCTGCAGCATGGCTCTGCTTTGAGTATAACTGTGTTGCATGTGTCACAGCATAACGTCATCTCCGAGACGGGTCTGAAATGCGGAGAAAGAGACAGCACGCTGCCTCCAGGCTACAGATTTGATGATATGGTCAGTTGTCCCATCCTCTTCATCACGTCTTCTGGTTTACTAATAAGCTTGTGGAGTGTTTTTGTTGTCCCATTGACAGACCTCACTGACGTACTGATTATCTAGACTAGAGTAATGGAGACAATGCTGTAAGCAGCCAAACAGAACTCAAATCCCCTTGATTGAATCGGGCAGAGATGATAAGGGTCAAACATTGTACATTTTTGGTTACGAAATATGCATTATGCACTTTCAAAAAACTATCAAGAAATCAGAGATGGTATCAAAAGTCTGTTTCATAATCTGGTTTACTCATTCTAAAATGAAAAAGTTCCAGGTCTCCCTCTGAGTATCTCATCTACAGTTTGAGAAATATCTTTGCAATTTCCCCCATCAACACATCAGAGCAGATTGGGATTTTATTGGATGGAGTCTTAAAGAGATGGGTGCTAAAAACTGAGCATTTCAGGCAGAGGGGTGTGGGGGAAACTTCTGAAGCAATTGGAGTCAGGACTCGGAGAGACACGAGGAGAGCTGGAGCTTTGATGGCAAACACTAACGGTTCATTTGGAGCTTCGGCCGGAGAATTCACAAAACATGTCACGGGCCACGGTTTGACCACACGGTTGAGATGCCACAATCAGTTCTGAAGAACTCTTCTGTAGTTCGAGGTGTTAACTAGTTCAGAGTGTAATAATCAACATTCTTCATCAGCGAGACTAAACAAATATGGACCCTGAACCTAATTGGAGCTCTCGTCCATAGAAAAGAATGTGTGCCAGGGAACCTACCTACTGTCCCTGAACAATAAACTATCTCATGTCAGCTTGTGCTCGGTCATAATGTGCCCCAGCTGCGCCTCCTTAAAAGAGATAGCAGCAATACCCAAGGCCGTAGACCTATGCCATGGGAAAGGAGACAGTGAAAAGAGAAAATGATGAGCCGTGTCAAATGTCGAATACCTAAGTAAAGTATTCCCTAACAGAGGGTGAATACAGCTATATATGGACGGTAAAAGGAAAATAATGAGCTTTTTGATTATTATAGCATGTTGATATGTTCAAAATACAAGTTTGAACCTCAAAATAAACATAATATTATACCTTTTAAATACATTTGATTTATTTTACCTTATTTTATCTAGCCAACGAAAGTCATTTAACATATTGGCAAACGTGTTGTATTTTCAATTTAAATGATATTCGGCCCTAGAGGCCGAGATTTAAAATACTGATCACCTAAAATCAAAACAATCTGAGGATCATTTGATCATTTCAGAGGATTTATTTGTTTGGAGAACTGAACCTTTAAGTCAGTGAATATTGACTCCCGGATTGTCAGAATTTACATTTTTATCTTGCAATCTAATATGAATTCTGTTTTTCCTCTAGCATCCAGTTCCTGCAGATGACAAGCCAAAGGATGTTCCTGTAAGTGAATCTTTTCTAACTCATATTTAGTGGAGTCACAACGTCCTGCATTACGCACATTTTGTTACAGATCAGACATAGACTCATGTAAACTTCTCCAACATATCTAAGCAAATGAGTATACACTTAAGTTGCACATACATTCAGGAAGCTCTGTTTCCACTGTATGATCTCCTGGTTCCTCTAGAGTGGGGAATGTTACATTGAATGGCGGGTGTTGTCTCAGCAAACAGCTCAGACCCACCTTCTCTTTTCAAGCTCGTTGATTCTTGTCCGACCAAACCCAAACACGCACGACAGCTCACACACTGATACATCTGTCACACACTTTGATATCCGCCCATGTGGAGGTTACTATTTACACACTATCAACACACCCAGTCTTGCATCACAGCGTACTCCCACTTTGCATCTCATATTGCCAGAGGCTTCTTTAGCTGTGTGTTTCATGATCAGTTCTCAGCAAGATACTTTCCTCCAATGTGAGTTTTGTTTTTAGTTTCAATGTTTCTCATATTTGATGCTAAATCGAAACAGTTGTATGTATCACAAGTGGGTTTTTCATTATTTTAATCTCCATGGAATGCAAAGGGTGTGTCTGTACTTTTCCTTCCCACTCTGTTGGTCTGGTTTTTATTATTTTTGCTCTTTTGTTTGCATTTGACTTGGCGAGTCATGCCCTCTAGTGGAGGATCATGTGGCTGTGATAGAATAACATTTGGAGCTATTCCACTATTTTAAAGAATCTTGCCGGTATTGTGTTGTTCTTTGGTTGTGATGCATTGTCTGTTTTCCATTTTAGAAACCACTGAGCACGGACGAGGCCCTGGACTCTCTTTCATTTGGATTTGCGTCAGCCGCTCCAGCTGCACCCAAGAAGCAAGAGGTCAGAGTCTTTAAACACGTAGCACTCAGCTGCTAGTCCATTCTCCACCTTTACACCTCGTTGCCTAAATGGCAAAAGTCTGAAACTAAAATTCCCAGTTTGCCATGTCTGCTGTGGACAGTATCAATTGAAGACTTTGTGCTTTTTAGGCAGTCCAACAAATTGCTCTTTTCTTAATGATATATGCCTAAATAATATGGAGGCGTGTGGCGCAGTGGATAGAGCCTTGGTGTTGGGATCAGGGTTCAAACCCCACTGCATTTAGCATGTCGTTGTGTCCCTGGGTCCCCAGATTGCTCCTGTGGGGATTGTCCACAGTATTGAGTAATTGAGAATACTCAATTACTCAATACTGTGGACAATCCCAAGTCGCTTTGGATAAAAGCGTCTAACGAGTAACATGTAATGTAAT